CCTTACCTTAGAACTCATACCAAAAAGATAACAATATTACATTACATTTGATCAGTAACACATGATTTATATGATCTTACTATTTGATTGGTAAATTAAAATCCAATCAATAACAATTGCAAAATCAAAGATAATTTTTTTAAAAAAAGTATTCTAACTATATACACGATATACTAAATTTGATATTATGATCATGTGGAGGGGGTAGAAGTTAGACAATAGTAATTATATAATGAAGAGATGATATAAATTATTCAAAGTGATTCTTTATAACTACTTATTAGCAACTCCTTATTTTAATTTAATAATATAAAATTTAATTATCAATTCATCACTAAAATGAGCTCTAAATATAGTCTCTATAGTAATTATTACTTAAAATTTTATTATTTGCTTAAAAATTTCACATAAATATAGGAATTTCATTGTATATTAAATATTCTTAAAAGCATGTACAAGCATAAAAATAAGGAGAAGAACTAAAATTATTATTTTTTTATATTATAATAAAATGTTTCTTACTAAAGAACAGGTATCAAAGTCTCTTCTAAATTTTCAACAAATCTTGTTACTTCTTCTATATTACCCTAATTCACTAAATAATAATATCAATCTCTTGTCCTTTTAAATAATTTATTCATTATTAAATAATTTTTTTCTACAGCTGTTTCTATTTTTGATTGAGGTTAAAGTATTTCTATCAAACTGCGAGACTGATATATCTCCAAGTCACTTTTCTCAAAAGTTTCTTGAAAATTTCTCTATACTTTTGATATCAAAATATCAGTATCACTACAGAGTTGCACATGAAAAATATAATGACAGAGCAGGAGATAGTGATTGAAGAATTTACAATCATACTTCATAACCAAGAGGTTTGGCACATCTTTTTCTTTTTGTAATCATTTCAAGACTATATGTACCTCTTCTGCAATAAACTTCTGGATTGAAAAGGAGAATTTGTGGATCTCAGCAAGAATTGCTAGATCTATATTAGCAATAGATATTGTTTTTATATGAAAATTGATGGTGGCTTCTTTTGCCATTATTTCCTTCTTTTTATTAAGTTTCAAGATCATATGATATGTACCTAAAAATGATAAAGAAGTGAAAACAAATCAAAATAAAAAAAAAATGATAAATAAGAAGAGATAAGTAAAGATTGAAGAAATGAAAAAGAAACAAAGAAAAAAAATAATAAAGAGAGGGGGAATAAAAGAAGAGAATTAAAGAAAAAAAAAGAAAAATGATAAGAAGGGAAAAGAGCGAGTAAAAAATAAGAGAAAGAGAAGAGAAAATAAAAAATAAATGATAAGAAGAAAAAGAGGAGAGAAAATAAAGAACAAATGATGAGAAGGAGAGAAAATAAAGAACGAATGATGAAAAGAGATGAAAATAAAAAATAAATAATGAGAAGAGAGAAAAATAATGAATAAATAATGAAAAGAGACAAAAATAAAGAACGAATAATAAGAAGAGAGGAAAATAAAGAATAAATGATAAGAAAAGGAGGAAAATAAAGAATGAATGATGATAATAAAAAATAAATAATAAGAAGAAGTAAAAATAAAGAATGAATGATAGGAAGAAAAAATAAAAAATGAAAGATAAGAAGGAAAATCAAAAAAAAGCAAAAAAAAAAGAAACAAAAAATTAACCTACTAATGATACTGTATATAATAGAAGTTCTTGTTTTGAGTTTACTATGGTAGGACTTGAGAGGATTCATCAAAGTTACTTAAAGAAGAAAAGATGAATACTATCGTACTCAGAGTACCTACTTTTTCAAATTCTTCAAGTAATTTTAGAAAATATACTTGATGTTAACTTGTAAAGGACATGTAATTATTGCACCCTGAACAAGTGCTTTACAACTGATCTGAGTTTTTTTGTGCATTACTTGAATTATTTTATTAAGAATTAGTTCATGATAAATATTTTTTATCCATATTTGAATAATATGAATAGTATATAGGAAAATGTTACATTCTTGCTCTTCTACACAGAAATCAGAAAAGATAATTATAATTCTGTTAGCTTTCACACTGCTTTGATCAAGTAACATATATTTTGGTCTCTATTGGGGAGTGAATTTTCAGATTATTTTCAATCCTACCATAATTATAACATTATTTTCATTACTAGTAAAAAAATACGTACTCACATATCAATAATTATAACTATTCCAAACATAAATTATGAATAAGTACTAATTATGCTTATTGATATTATAAGTAGAATTGATTAATGATAACTATTTATAGCACATTAGATTCTCTAATTATATAGAACTTATAAAATATAGCTCTTGATATAATATTTAAATAAAAAAGAATTCAACATGATTTTTTTTTGAATTAAAAACTTATACATATCCTGAACATTAGCATTTAAATTGATATCTCTGATAAGATGCAAGATTATTAGACCTATGAGTTTCAATTTAATGTTTGTAACTTTCTGAGTTCTAAGATATTCTACATCAGAGTTTTCATGTGATTCAAAAAGTTATTTTCAGACTATGCTAGCAATTACGGAAAGCTTATACTTTTTTATAGCTTCATTAGTTACCATATTTTTAATAAATCTTGACTATTTTCATATGTCACTTTCTTCAATTAAATGAGAGTGAGCAGGAGAATCTTTATAATTTTTAATTCAGATCTTGTTCATAAATCAAGTGATTTTAATTCTAGTCTCACACTCGATTAGAGAATATTTCTAAGTTATTCGAAGTTTATCAGGAAGAATACTAACTTTACATCCACTTGATTATTGAAGTTTTGAGAGCCTGCATACATATATTTTTCACTTACTTCCATTTGATAATTTATTTTCATTAAATCTAGTTTATATATTGTTGATAAATGCCTATTTCTTATCAAATTCTTTAAGAAGAAGTTCAAATACTTTATCAATATTAAAAAAATACTTATAGAAGTTTGATATAGAGTAGCAAGAGCTAAAGAATAACTATATAATTCCAGTTAAAAAACATAAAAATTATAAATTAAGTTAGAAAGTATCATTTTGGTAGGCCAGAATGCTCACATCCAGTTGCAATACATTAGATATAATTAACATTTTTGAGAATGCTCAAGAAACTTATAAATTATATTATTTCAAGAAGTATAAAAAAATAAAAATAATGTTAGAGGGAAGAACAGAAAGAAATGATATTATAAAGAAAGGCAAATTTTATTTAGCAAGAATTTTTTTTACTTATAAGAATAATTTTTTTTTATTATTATTATATGAATAGTGACATTTTTTTTTCAAATCATATGTTACTGATCAAATATGATGTATTATGACTAAATTGGCTAAATGGCTTATCTTGCTTTAATGCTCCCCTAATATTTAATAAGATATAAAGAATTATTCATCCAATCATATTGTGATATAAAGTGACTAATAATATAATTAATTAATATTTTACTAAAAATTCATATCATAATAGTATATATAATTATAATTGATAGAATATTTTTGCATATTACTATAATAATATATATTAAATATTTTAATATTGAAATAACTTATTATAGAATTACTTAAAATTATAATTGATCTAAGATATATATTAATATTGAGAATTATATAAAAATATATAATATATATTAATATAAAAAAAGAATTAGAAAGAATTATTTACTATATTTAATAAAAAATAAAGAATTTTTTAAAAAAATAAATATAAATTTAATAGAATTACTTATATTAATAAAAGATAATTATAAATATATAGTAATTGTTATAGATTATTATACTAAATAAGTAGAAATAAGATTAATCTTGAATAGTTTAACAGAAATAATAATATCATTTCTTTATAGAGATATTTTCTATAAATATGATTTTCTAAAAAAAATAATATCAAATAGAAAATAATGAATTAATAAAAGAATTATTTAATAAATACCAGATCAAATATTATTTATCAATATTATATTATTCTCAAATTAATAAACTTACAGAAAGATTAAATAAAATATTATGTAATTCTATTGGAAAATTAATTCAATTATATGAAAAAGAATGAGATATATATGTGTTTTTAATACTTTTTACCTATAAAATAATGAAATAAAGCTCAACAAAATTCATACCATTTTATCTTATCTATAATAAATAAGTTATAATACCTCTAGATCTTAAGTTAACTCTAATTGAAGATGAAGAAAATATTACTTTAAATAAATTAATTAAAAGAGCTTATATTATTATAGATAAACTAGAATTAAATAGGTCAATTACTCAATAAAATATACAAAAATTTCATCAACTCATAAAAATTATTCTTTTGATACTCGAAGCTGAATCTTGCTATTATTAGTCCAGTATTTAACATTGGACTAAATACAGTTTAAAATACTAGACCAAAACTATTTCAGTCTAATTAGCTTATTAAAGTCCAATGGCCTTGTGCTATTGGACTGGAACCGATCTGCACTACACTTGCACTCATCGATCTCTGGAATCCAAAAAATCGCGAAGGAATCTGTGTAAATGATAAAATGGCGTGTGTTATCAAGTTATAGAATATGATGAAATTATAATTTTTTACAAGAAATATCCTTATCGGTCGGCGAATAAATTCTTTGTGTGGTGGTGCTATCATTGTTTGCTTTGTTTTTGATTCTCTTTTTCTAATACGCACGCTAATTCCCAAATCTGAATATGAATTCGAGGAAAAGATTTACATGTTTGTCTTTCATTTAATTTGAATTTCTGTCTGCTTTAAAAAACATAATCCATAAATTATCGTAATCTTGTTTTTATTTTAATCATTAAAAGCTATAAGGTAATGTGGGATGATAATGATAATAAATACGTGTGAATCTTATAAATGGTCTGATTGCATAGGGAATGGGGTGATAAAATGATGTCAATGTCGTCATAGTGTGATCTTGTTTGTGATCGACCTAGCATTAAAGCTAAGATATAAAAACCCTCTTTTTCCCCAAATCTAAATTATTTTTATTTACTATAATTCAAAAATGTCTTCAGAAGTTTCCACACAAACTGCTAATACTACTTCCGATCCTGCTACTGAAACCACCCAAAAAGAATCAAATTCATCAGCTCTTAAGCGTCATGACACAGAAATTGCTGCACACGATCATATACCTACAAGTGATCAAAATGCCCAATCACAATCTCAAATTACTCGTGTCATAGTAATTGCTATCGACCATTCTAGTCACAGTCAATACGCGTTCGATTGGGCGGTTAAAAATTTATTACGAAAGGAAACTGATTTGGTACCATTCTTTGCTTTCTTTCAAATATTAACTAAGCGTCGATTAATTTGTTTGATTGGTTTCTTCTAATCCTTCTAATCCTTCTAAACAAAAAGGCTGTGCTGATTAATGTCAGGCCAATTCCCTCAATTCCTGGACCATATGGTAGATTATGTTTGTGACAAATTCTTCGATTAATTTATAAAGGGAATCAGCATTGTTTAAAATCATTACGATGAACATGGAAATAACGTGATACCATCTTTTTTCAGCTATAGGCGCAACTTATATGGATTTCGGCGAGGTTATTGCCAGTGTCGAGGAACAGGTACGATAAAAATCTTTTATTCATTTGATTTTTTTAGATAATTATAATTGTCTTAAAAATTTTATTTGTTTTCTTTTTTTATTAGCATCGTGCAAGCAGTCATCAACTTTTACAAGATTATGCTTTGAAATTGAAGGAACAAAACGTAAGTTTTGCTTCTCTTTTTTATGTAATTATATAACTTTTTATTTAATTATTATTTATATTAGTTTGCTTGCAAAGCGATTGCAATGAGAGGTGATGCACGCGATGAAATTGTTCGAAAGGTCGGAGAAGTCAACGCGGATGCTTTGGTGATAGGGTCTCGTGGTTTAGGCGCATTAAAAAGGTTTATAATTAAACTCTCCTTTTGCTATTCTAATTCATTTTAAAATTCAAAATTCATACTTCTATTCTAAATTATTAGAACCATCTTGGGTTCCGTGAGCGATTATTGTAGCCACGTTTGTCACTGCACTGTTATTATTGTCAAAGAAAATGACAAATAATTTTACGAAATCACATCTTCATAGCTAATGAATCAAAGATTTTACGCGATTAACTCATCAGAATCGCATTAATCTCCTGGAATCTCTTTGATCTATGAAAAAGATCTTTTTGTAAATTTACTTGTTTCATGAACTATTTTCCAAATGTTATTCACTATTTTATTGAATTCATATTTAATTTATTGATATGAGAAAAAAATTATAAGTTTATTCGTTTAATAAAGCAGAAAATTGATTTAATAAATATTATAAGTCGGTAAAGAGACCACGTGAAAAAACTCTAAAAAAAAACAAATGTTACTATCGCTATGTGCAGTAAACCAAATTAAATGATTTTAATATCATTAAAAGGTCTAGTTAAGGCGCATCTATAATATATCAAATTATTAATTTGACTCACTAGATATGGAGACATTGCGTTTCAGAAAAAATTCTCTAAAGAAAAAAAATTTCCACATCCAGTAAATCACATTGAATGATTTTGATATCATTAGAAAACTCTTGACTAATGATACTAAAATTATTTCAATTCGGTCAACTGGATGTGAAGATATTTGCAAAAAAAATGATTTTTTTAAGAATTATAGAAATTTTTATATAATTTTTTGAGATGCTTACAATATTAATAAGCTTGAACATGTAATATTTAAAACTTGGATATTTATCACGTGATAAAATTTCTTGAATTTGACGAGTTGATGGAACTATGCACTGACAAAGCAAACATTGCTAATATACATATCGATATAGTAAATTGACTTATTTCGTCAAAATTTTTCCGAGCACAAAAATCAGCACACGTCTTTTATAGGCTGGTAAACTTTTACATATCGGTAATCGGATGTTCATCAAATCTGTCCTGGTTCGGGCGAAAATGCTACCATTTGATTTTCCTAACAGAGAAAAATCAAATGGTAACATTTTCGCTCGAACAGTCCACCGAATGTCGAGATATTGCGCCCAGAGTGATCGTCAAAAAATCTTTAGGACGTAATATCAATGCCGATTCAAAGCATCATAAAGTGGCCGATTTATTTTTTAGACGCAATATCTCGACGTCCAGTGTCAGATCCAATCAAAAATATTACCATTCAGCTAGGCGAATCGAGTGGTAGCATTTTTGCTCGAATCATACCAAGAACCGAGACGTGGAGTATTGATGAACATCAATGCCTGATATAAAATTTTACCGGCCTAGATGATTGGTGTTTATATTTTTCTTTTTTTGCTCTCGGAAATTTTGGCATATTAAACACGATTTACGGAAAGTTAGTGGGCGTCGGATGATTTTACAGTTGACTTTATGTAAATAGAATCACGAATTTTGCGCGCATCCCAAATTCCAGATGCAATTTTAAAGACAAATATACGTTCCTATACCATACAAAAGCATGGAATAACATATCACCGATTTCTCTTTACATATATTCAATTCTAATATCAGTATCCGAGGCTGTATTGCAACCGTTATCCGCTGATTTTTGATGAAAAATTCCGGCTTGGTTTTGAGCGAAGGAGTCGTAGGTAGATACTTTTTATTGGTTGAAGAATGTATCAAAGCTTTTTTGTCACAACAAAATCCTAGTAGAAATGCGTAATCATGATTTTTGCAGCGACTTGTTTAAGTGCTCAAAGATTTAAATTACGGTGAATTTAATAGTGTGTTCATCTTGTCAGGATTCGTAATCGAAGAAAATTGTTACAGAAGCATGTTTTTGTTGTCGTTCTCTTTACCCATACTGTCTGAAGCCAAAAATTCACTGTTCATATTTATTGTTCATAAATAAATTAAAAAGTTATACGATTGGAGACAGCATACAAAATTTTGAATTTACAATTAGTTATGTAAGTATATAGATCATATAATGTCATAGTCTAACACTTCAACCATTTTGATTGATCAAAAACGCCATTTGAGGAAATTTATTACCAAAAGTACCAATAAATTGACTTTTTGTATAATGATAGTGTTACAGCACTTCTGGATAGTGGATTTCACTGAGAATTGCTATAAAGCATAAAGGGTTGGAAGAGGGACAATTAAACTATTTAAAATGAAAGAAAAATTAAATATTAGCAAAGGTTTCTAAGACCTGTGCCAATATTTATGAATATTGTAAAAAAAAGGGTGAAATTACAAAAGTAATTTAAGAAAGAGGTAGAGATATAAAAGAAAAGGATAAACTAAATCAAAAGATTTATAATGATTAATAAGTGAAGTCACTATTAATCAATATAACTAAAACAAACAAAAATATAAATCAAACTAATCAACTAAAAATCAAAATCATAAATCATAAAAATAAATAATTCCAAAAATATCAAATCAAAAATATATAAATATCAAAATCAAAAATATCAAAGTCAAAAATTCAAATCAAAATTAATACAGTATAATGTTATAATAAAAATTCAAAATTAACTTTATATGATTAAAGAAATAAAATCAAGTGAAAGAAAAAATGTTAGTATAATTGAAAAAGAAATCAAAAAGATTATTATTATTATAATAATATTTTTCAAATAATTCAATTTAAAAAAAACTTTTTATTTTAATTTGAAAGAGCAGATTCTTTTATATATTTTTTAATATAAAAATTATTTATAATATTACTAGTTAATACTATTTAATATATATTATAATCTTATATCAAGATTTTGATATTAATATTTTAAGATCAAGATTTTGATATTAATATTTTGAAATTAGATTTTTAGAAGAAGTAAATATAAAAGAAGAGATTTATAAATATATTAATTAATTAATCTTCAAAGTATTACTAAAATAAGAAATATTAATATTAAATATAGTATAATTATAATCAAAAAGATAAATATCAAATTTAAGATAATAAAATATAAATAAAAATAAGAAAAAAAAGTAAATATAATATTTAGAAAATAAATAATATAATTATAATTTGATAGGAATAATATTAATTATATGATAAAATAGAAAATAAAGAAAAAGAAAATTTTAAATAATTAAAGAAAGATTATTAAATTAAAAAAATTTATATTATTATAATAATATCTAACTTTTTTTAAAAAGATTTTTACTTTTACAAAAATTAAGCAATAAGTTTAAATATCTTTTCTTTTTTAAATAAAATAATTTAAATAATAAAAAATCAAATTTATTAATAAGTACTTCTTTTTTAAATTGATAAATATTAAATAATATTATATAATTTTTTATATATTTATTTTTTAAGAGTATTATCAATTTCTCTTTTAATTTCTTGAATATTCTTTTTATATTTTCATAATTAAATAGATAAAATATATTTAAGTTTATAATATTAAGTTGTTTTTTTATTATTATTGAGTAATTTATTATAAATTTCAAGTATTACTTTTTCAAGCTTTATTAATAGTTTTTTTCTAAGTTAAGTTTTATTTATTTAGAAATAATAATAATTAATTCAAGTTTTTTTTTTATATTATTATAAATTATTAGAATCTATAAATATTACTTTTTCTTTTATAATTATAAAAATAATATTTTTAATCTTCTTAATAAATTTATTTAATTAATTAAAATTTAATTTTATAATTAGATTAAGTAATTTTAAATATAACTTGATAAATTTAGCTAATAATTAAGTTTTCAAAAGATAAGTATTATTTATTTTATTATTTTTAATAAATTTAAATTAATTAATTAAATTCAAAAATAAAATATAAAACTCTTATTCTTTATTATTATTTATGACTAATCCAAAAATTAAAATAGTAAGTATTTTAAAAAATTATTAAATAAGAAGTTCTTAATATAATTCTTCAAGAAGTTTAATAATTTGAATTAAAATTAGTGAAAATAATATAATTATATTATTTTCACTTGATTTAGATTATTTTTACTTAGATAATAATGATAACTAATTTTTATTATCAGATTATATAATAATAATAACTAATTCTATTATTAGACTATATATGATATATTATATCAAGTTGATAATAGTGATGAGTTTTTATCATCAAACTATATTATTAGAGATTAGAAACTTGTAAAAATTTGAATCTAAATTATTCTAAATAAATTCAAATTTCTATATATTTTCCAAATAAATCTAAATTTTTAGTATTTTTCAAATAAATCTAAATTTTTAAGGAATTCTTATATATAATTATATAATCTATATTTTAATAATTAAAAATGTAAAAAATTTTTTTGCTTGAAATATTTAATAATAGAACATACTAAAACTATTTTAGTTTACTTTTGAGTATAAATGTTTTTAGCTGATTTTTTCAAGAAAAAAAATAAGTTAATATATTATTTTTGTAATCTAAGTATTTAATAGTAAAATAAGACTATTATTATAATTTATATTAACTTAAAGACATATCAAGAATTATAACACTCATATAATATAACAAACTATAAAGATTATTAGTAATCTTTTTTATTTTTAGTTACTGTTATCAAGAATAAAAAGTAAATAATAATTGATTTAGTAAAGACTTGAATAGAAGTAAATATTTTAATTAAAAAAATTGATAAACTTCATGACTTTTTTAAAAAATATTATAATGAAAGAGATATTATTCTCTCAGTAAATATTATTAGAAGATGACTTAAAATATATATTTAAATAGTATTATACAAAACTTCAAGATAAGTTTCATAGAAAGACAGTTTTTTTTATTATTAATGAAACTACAAATAAAAAGTATGTAGTATTATAAATATACTTTTTAGTTATTAGAGTTATATTAAGTTAATTTTAGTTAACTTTTTATCTTAAGTCAATAATATTATGATTAATTAATTAGTTTTTCAATTATTAATTAAGTAAAAAATATTTTTTGATTAATTATATCTTATTATATTTGATTCAGCAACTTATATGAAAAAATCTATTTGTAAAATATTAAAGCTAGTAATACTATAATTAAAATATAATTTATATTTAGCTTATATCTTATATTTAATAAGATAAGAATAATATTATTAATATTATTTTTTAAGTTTTAATATTAAATATAAATTATTATTTTATTTATTAGTAAAATATGATTAAGTTTTAGTTATTTTAATAATATTTGTAAAATAATTATAAATATTAAAAAATTAATGATACACTCAAAAATATATTATTCTTATTATATAATATATTTATATTAATATAAAATTACTAAAAAACTATCTAAAGAATAATTAAATATTTCAAAATTGACTTTACAATTTATATCTTTATCTAATGTTACCTAATGGAATTCTTAATTTAAAATAGTATTTTATATATATGATTATCTTGATTATATTTGAAGATTTTATTATGAAGAACAAGAATTAGAATTTTTTAAAATTATTAATAATATTATATCAATTTTTTCAAATAATAATATTAATAATTTGGTAGAGTTATATTTAATTTTTATTCATTATTATATAATTTAATTTATATCAAATATTGAATTTTTTCAAAAAGAATATAATTCTGTTTTTTCTTTTATTGAAAGATGTATTTAATAACTTAAAAATTATTTTAATAATAGTAAAACTGCTATTAATTTTGGATATGAAATTAATATGATTTTATTCAAGTTTAATTTAAATTTTTCTTTATTTTAATCTATTTTTCAAAGTGCATTTCAAGTTACATATACAAAATTTACAAATTATTTTTCTAATCATCTTTCAAGATCTCTTTTTAAAGCTACATGAATTTTTGATCCATGTTTTTTAAAATTATTATTAACTAATTATGATATTTAACAATATAGTTCTGATATTTTATAATTATCAAATTCATCTATTGTACTTCTTCAAGAATAATCTTTATATTATAATTTAGATTTAATTAAAGTTGATTATATAAATCTTGGAGTTTTTTAGAAAAAAATAGCACTTACTCTTCCACTTTTAAGTATAATTGCTTTAGATTATATTTGGCTTCCTATTTCTTCTTGTTCTGTAAAATATAGTTTTTCAATTTACAATAATCTTTTACATGATAATTGGCAAAATTTAAGTACTAAATTACTTAAAATATTGAATATATTGCATTTTAATATGTCAAATTAAAAACTTAATATTTCATTTAATTTTTTAATGTTAGTCAGAATTATAAGTTAAATTTTAATGCTGGTCAAAATTAAATATAATTTTTATTTCAAATTTTATTCAAATACTTACGATTTTCCAAACTAATATTTATGAGATACGATGTGGTCATGTGTATGTCGGAGTGATGATAAGTCACGAGTTGTCGTCAGATCTGCATAATAAATAGACGCGTAATTTAATCGATCTCTAAATCAAAACACTTCTCCAACTCTAACACCACATCTTTTATTCCTTTATTGCGCCAAACAACTTGGTATAGTATAAAACATTTACCCTACTAGATTTATTCCTTTTATCAAAGGCTTTTCTAACCAACCTGTTTATATATTTATCTAGTATCTAATTATGTATGATTTTTATTGTATTCGTTTGTAGAATTTAAAGAACCGTTGCCAACCTTCTGAGAAATGAGGGTCCGCCGTCCGGTACATGGGCGTGCAGTGCCAATTGTCAATCTTCTGAGAAATGAAGGTCCGCCGTCCGACACAATGGACGTGCAACTCCCTTCGGTTTTTCTGAAGTGAATGCCTTTCGTTTGCATGACGTTGCCAACCTTCTGAGAAATGAAGGTCCGCCGTCCGGTACATGGGCGTGCAGTGCCTCTCGTCTGCATAACGTGTATCTGTTATTGGCCTCCCCTCTATTTACGTGAAGGAGTGTTAATCCACGTTGTATTTTAATATTTATTTACTATTATAGATTTACCACCTTATAAAAAACGAATATGTTGCGGAAAGCCAGAATTATCGGTTCTTGTAGCAGGAACAATTGAAGGTTTACGACACGAAGAGCTGGAATCGTGGTTGCAGGAAGCTACTCCACTACGCTTCGAACATATCTGGAAGAAACAAGCGAATGGATGGGGACATGTGCATTTTAGTACACACTATGATGCATCAAGATTTTTCAATGAAATGAAAGATAAAACCTTCACAGGACCATATGACCATATAATCAGATTTTCCGGTGCAACGTATTTCAAGTCCAAGAAAACGGTTGATTATATTATCGTAGGTTTTCTTTTGGATAAACTGGTTACATTATATACACTTTGATGTTCTATTTATCTCTGTTTTTTAGGGGTCAAAGACACATCCTCTATCTCCTCCGTCTACGGTCTTTCCTTCCGATACATCATCTGCTAGTCTTTCTTTACAAACCGATAAAGATAAGTCGAAGCCCGTAAAACAGTCTTCGCTAAACAAGTCCCAATATGCGTTGTATGATAACAATGAAGGGCTTGTATTAGTTAATATCTTGTATCATTTGATATTGCGTACAACTAAATCTCTTTGCAATAGATTTTATATAGTTAAAATACACACCCCATGAATTCAACAAAAAAACCAAGTACAAATTGATATTGCTGATGATGATCAAACTATCACTATTACTGCGGAGAATTTGGTAATCGAAGAAAACGGCACGGAGATTGTAAATAATCTCTCCACAAGGTTTGAAGTGAATATTGATCTACCGAGAATGTAAGTTATGTCAATTTGCACTTTTTCGGTTATCAAATCAATTGTCATTTAATACTCGTGCCTTTTAATATAGGGTGCATGCAGATCATCCAGTTAATGTCAACATCGAGCATGGCATTATAACGGTCAGTGGTTATGTCACACAATATGAATTTTATATAATAATAACGATAATGATAAATATGATTATATTATAGAATTACAAAAAACTTATTTTCATTTTTATTGTAACTACATAATATTATAATTAAACAGATAGTGTTTTTATAATCTTAATGCTTCATATTGATAAGATTTATCTTTTAATTAATGCATTTTTATAATATTTCGAAAACTCTTAACTTTATGAATAGGTATGTGAAACTTATATATATAAAATAATCTTGAAGTTATATATATTAATACCTTTTTAATTATTAATTTTACGTTTGCGATTTGGTTGTTGTTTTTTCGATATTGTTTGATTCTATCCAGAGTCCAATCTCGATTTAGTTCAACTAATATCTTTTCCATTTGATTATTAGATAATGAATCTTCAAGTATTGTGGCAAGTATTAATTTTTCTGCTTGTGTCATTTCTCTTCTGATACGCTTTTGTTATACTATAGTAGATGTTATTAAATTTAATTTATTTGATTTATCAAGTTTTTGTGAATTGATCATTTTGATTATATTAATTAATTAATCATCTTTTTTTACAATTATATCAGATTTTATTTTCTTGGCTTTTTGAATATTAGCATATGGATATTGTATAATATCTCTTGCTTATTGATTTTTAACATTACATGGTTGTGTTTTATAAACATCTTGTTTCAAAATTGAGTTAAGTTATTGATTTTTTATATTATAAGAATGAAGAATTCTTGCAATTTTACTAGAATTTATTTCTTTTGCATCTTCAAATAATGAATGTTTACAGAGATCATCAAGTAAAAATAGATTAATAATTTGTTGTGCAAGAGATTAAAGTACTTTTTTTTATTATTTATCACATAATCATTTTGATTAATAATGAAATTACTTGAAAATTTTGAAATAATATATTTAATTAATTTCTTTTTATTTAAGCAGATTGAATTTATAACATGAGATTTTTCTGATTAATAGGATTTTCTTCAATGATTTGTTTTACAAATTTTATATCAAATATTTTTAATATTTTATCAAAAGTTAAATATTTATCTTTTTTTGTTAAATTAACAGAATAAACTTGTTGAAGAAGTTATTTTAAAGAAAAATCATCATTTATAAATATCAAAAAATGAGTTATTAATTATATATAATTGAATTTTTTCATAATAAAAAAAAGAAGAGACAAATACAACAAGATTTTCAAATTATATCTTAAAATTTTCATATTGAATTCCAATTTTATGATCTTTTCAAAAGCCTATCTAATAATAATAAAGATATTATACTTTTACAATTTTATTTGTTCCATTAAGAATATTAATTATTATTAATTTATTATATTTTAAATATTGATGAATTGCTATTCCAATAGCAGTTCAAAGTAATTCTAGTACTTGGCAGATTATTTTATAATCTATCATATTATTTAATTTATTTAAATAATATATTTCTAATATAACTATTATTTTAAAGATTTTATAATTTGAAAAAGTTGTAATTAATATTACATACATATTTTTATTTGTATATTATTATTATAAAAGAATATGAATATGTAAATAACTTTTATAGTAAGTAATGAAATAACTAAAAATAGCTTTATTATAAGCTACTTCAAAAAATTTATTAGTTAATTTAATCTTATTTAAATATAAATTATATAATATAAATATATTATTATTTGAGTTTGGTTATATTTAATATATATTTATCCTAGTTATTCTAATAAAAAGTAATAATCTAGAAAAAATAAACTTATCTATTCATGATATATTTATATTATACATATGATATATATATTATATATATTTATAAATAAAAAAAAGAAGATTGAGATTTTACTAGAATAACTAGAATAATTAGAATAGATAGTTTAAAACTCTTTCATTCAATTTGAAATTACCAGCAGATATATTTTTTTCTATTTTAACTTATGTTCTAGAAAAAAATTTATTCTAGTTAGAATTTCAAAAAATATAAATACTTTAAATATTACATATATATATATTAATTTTCTTTTACCTCAGATGATATAAAGTATTAAATTTTAATTTTTTATCTTGTATCATCTTTTCAAGCTTTTTCTGCTAATAATGATCTTGAAATTTATACTTATTAGCATGAGTTCTACATATACTAAATATAAATAATCTTAATTTATTATATTTTTTATATGATATATAGGTATGAGAATTTTAGTAAACTTTATATCTTTTTGATTGATAATAATTCTTGTTACAAATTTTATTAGTTTAAAGAATATAAAAGTAATAATAAAATTCTATATCTATATAAAATTTTTTAATAATGTATATATTATATATTTAATACTAATTATCTGAAATAATTAATTTTCATTTTGAATATTTTTCTAATTAATAATATATTATATGAGAAATATAAGTAAATCTATCAAGATCCAAGATTTTTAAAAAAGTATTAATCATATATCTGTAAAAATAAAAATACTATTTTCTTAATTAAAAAGTCTAAAAAACTTAGAAAATTTCAAGTTAAAAATAGAAAAAGAAAATAATAGGATCTTCTATCATAAGAAGTTAAAGCTTTTTTTCAATCATAAATTTTGAAAAATAGAAAAGCAAAATAACTATTTCAATATATATTTCACTATTTTAGTAATAATTATTTAAAAGATATTCTCTCTCATGATAAACTTATTATTAAGTATAATAATAAGTTAATAATAATTCTTGAATAGGTATTATCTAAAGAGAAAGATATTCTTTTTATAACTATTAATATGAAAGAATTTACTGAAAAAATTAAAAGAAATATATTATACTTATATAACTTCTTAATTAATAGATAAAAAGCTATAATAATAATCAAAAGTATTTAGATATTCAGATATTCTTTGATATTCTTATATTAGAAGATAAATATCTAAATATATTTAAAATAAAAATAAAGAATATATTTTCTGATACTATAAGAATATTTAAAATTAAATATATTAAAACTTTTCTATTTATTAGATATAATATAAATAAAAAATTATACTTATGAATTTTTATAATCACTACTGAGAAAAAAAATTACTATAAAACTTATATATAAAAATAAATATAGTATTACTTCAGATAATATAAATATATACTATTGTAAAGTAGTTTATAAATATAATTTCTCATTATTAGAATGATTAATGATAAATAATTATACTTATAGCAAAAATTCTAGATTTTATTTATATAAATTTCATATATCTATAAAAAATTTTCATCCTGTAAGAGAGCTTATATCATTAAATATTTACTTTTTTATTTTTATCTTTACATAAAATCATATATTTATATTTACTTAGAATATTAAGATATATAATATATATAAATTAGTTAATTTTTCTAAAGCAAATTATAAAGAAGATAATATTTTTATAATCTATATAACTAAAGATAATAGTCACAATTACTATATTATAACATTTTATATTATAACTATATTGTTACTATTTTAAGATTATGCGTATATAATTATTTTAAAATAGTAATAATGACTGTATTTACAGTAATTATTAATTTTTATAATCTTTAAGAGATTATATGACTGATTATCTTTTCAATAAGATAATGTATATAAGATTTACTTCTAATAAAATGCTTTCTCAATAGAGCAAGAAGAAAATAAGATAAGATATAAGATAAAATTTATGTATTTATTAAAGAAAAATACTAATTAACTACTTTTAACTCAGTAGTAATTACTTCTATCAAACTTAATTATTCTTCTTGATCACTTCTTGACTCTCTATATATAGTATTT